GCCTCAACTCTGCAGTCACCGATGTCTCACCTGCTCGCCTGTTTTTGCTCTTTCCAGAAAGTGGTTATGGGGCCCCTACTATTAACCACGCCCGGATCTTGGTCCTGGGACTACAAGGTAAGAGTCTGCCATTATTGAGCTTTTGTCTAGCAGAGGAGATAGGTAATTGAAATAAAACAAAAATCAATCATGGGGTAGAGGCTGCCTGCGCAGATTGGTCAGAGAAGGCTAAGCTGAGGAGCTGGTACTCAAGGTGAGATCCAAAGTATTAGAAAAGGAACCAGCTGAGGAGGAGCTGGGTGAGAGTGTTCTAGGCAACTTAATGTTAGAAGATGAAAGAGGACTTTGCAAATGATGCAAAATTCTCTCCTAACCCTGAATCTTTGCCAAGAGATCTCCTTTCGAAAGCCCCAACACACTAATACCACGTCTTTTTCAGGTGGCAAGAAAATACCAGTATTTTTGAAGATATAGTTCTCATTACTGTATGAATCACATAAATATAAGTGTTAAATTACTGGCCTCATCCACTAATTGTTTCAAAGACACAGGGGAACCTGATATTCATGACTTTGAATCAAGCTACGAGGACATGGGTTGGTGGAATGGGCACCAAACAGGGAGTGGCTTTCCCGTTGCACTTTATGCCTGCCTCACCGGGTCTGACTGGCAGCCTGTGCACACGGCCGTATCAGCTTCATGCTGTGGTGGTCAGCAAGGGGAAACTAGGCATCAGGAAGACATTCCTTAAAGTTAGGTGTGATTTCATGGCATGAGAGTCCAAAAAGGAAGGCGAGTCAAAAGACTGTGAAACTCTCGGGAAGTAAATCCTGTTTGCACACATTACATTCCAGGGAACTGAGAAAATGAGAAACAAAGAATCGATCAGTTGTTGTTAATATTCTTTTGGGATGAGCTGACATTGGTGGAAGAGGTACTATAGATGGGAATACAGAAATCTTTGAAGAATTATAAAGAATTATAAGCTAGCTCAAATTCCCAGCTTTTTTTAATAAGGGAGGAAGCAGATGGTATGAATTATGTTCGGTGAGCCCTGTGACTCTCCTGTCTGCATGGATCATGAGGGCGTTGTTACAGACTTTCCTTTAATCCTTAGTGTCTTCTTGAAGTCGCCCCAGGGCTTCTCAGGTGCTTCTCCTGATTAGTCGTTGTGTTTAATCCAGTGTCAACTGTGCAACTGAATGTGTGATCCTATTTTGACTTGACATTTCCAGAACACTCAAAGCCAAATTGGTGACCCTTCAGTTAGCAAATGTGAAAGCCTTTTGTTCTGACTCATGACTCATTTTGACCCTCTCTTGTCTTATTTTATTCCAGTTATTTCATGCTTATATTTTTAACATCCTTGTAAGTCACCATAAAACATTTGAGGAACAAGATGGAGCCTGGCAAATTCAAATAGAAGCAACATCTAGTAGTTAAACGCATGGGCCCTGGAGGCAGCTGGAATCCAATGCTGATTCCCTGTCTGTAAAATAGAAATAATAATAGCTATTTCATAGGATTGTTCAAATATTTATGAAGAACACTGAGCACTGTGGCTAAGACAAAGTTACCAAGCAATAAATATTATCTATCACTACATTATGATTATATAAACTAAATGCATCCAATTCTGTGAGTTTGAAATCAACCCATGCAAAATTCCTCAGTAGATTGTAAACATATTTAAAAGGTGATCTTTAAAATTAGTATGTTTCCCTAAAACCATGTCATGCCAGGCCTGTGTAATTTTATGTCCAGTGCCTTGAGGTAGCCCAGGCTGATAAACACAAGCTCTGCAAGGTGGGGGCCTCAGCATTGTTTTTTGTTTTGTTTTTTTAAACTCCCCTGTGATTTTAAAATTTAACCAGAATTGAGAAATGCTGTAATTGTTGTGGATTGAGGTGAGCCTAACAGCAAGGGGTTTAATCAGGTGACCTGGATTTTGTCTTTAGCCGGCCAGGTCTACATTTTATCAGTGACCTATATAAAGATCCAGGCTGCGTGCCTCTCAGATGCAAGGATGCCACAAAGTAAATGCATGAGTGACATACAGGACCTTGATAGATTTTGACGAGCTGGACTCATGACCTGATTTAAGCAAAATAAATGCACTTTTAAATGTCAGGCTCAAAATCCATGTGTAGGGCAATTGTTCCCAAAGGGGAGTCCCCAGACCAATAGCATTAACATCTGAAAACTCGTTCAAAATGTAAATTCTCCAACTCTACCCCAACCTACTAATTCAGAAACTCTAGAGGGTGGAGCTGGCAATGTTTTTTAAAAGCTAGCTGGACGATTCTGATGCATGCTAAAGTATGAGAAGCACTTGGGTCGGGGGAAATCTCACTGGACAGGTGCAAAAGGGAGAGACACCTTAGTTCACAACAACAACTAAATAGAGAATCTTTATTCTTGATCTCGAGTCCTATTTAATTCTAACTTTACCACCACTGTGAGGCCCTACCATGCTCTGTGGGTCATGCCACTCACCTTTGTGTACCACAGTCATGGCATACATGTGTTTACTGAAAATCTGAATAATTCCAGAGACTGTTAAATAGTGAGAAATGGTGGTTGTAGAGTATTATGACATAATAATAGCTAAAATATAGCAGTCACCATATGCAGGCACCATTGTGAGCCCTTTGGGTGAGTATCAACTCATTTAATGAGGAAAGATGATTAGAATTTGTTGGCAGCTGTAGAATGACCACCATTTTGGTTGGGTAGCTGGAGTTGAAGGGTTGGTCAACTTCCAGTGTTTCTGATGGGTCACTAGGTGTATTGCATGCCCGGGAAGCCTTTGGATAAATGGTAAAGAAGCTTGAGAACAATCACCAGGATTTAAATGTTAAACCCCTTCCTCCTTCCCTATCCCCTGAGAAGGGCAAGTGAAGGGGAGAAGGAAAATCTGCCTCAACACTTGCAGGGGACAGAAGGCAAAGAAGTTTGGAGAGTCCCGCAAGGCAGATGACTGGCCATCCAGGGAACATGGACAGACCTGCTTCTACCTGAGGCCACGTGGGGAATGGGGGACCAAGGGCGAGTGTGTGTCTCAGGGCAGAAGGGCATAAACCTTTCCCCTCCTCCAGCCTCAGGACAACTTGCAAGGAGTTCATGGACAAAGGCAGGTACCAACTGAAGAGACCAAGAGTACCTGTCAGGATTTTCTTAAGAATGAATTGCGTGGGGGCCAGTCAGAAGTTGCCTGAAAGAACTGTCAGGTGCATGTCTCAGTTGATTGGGGAGGAAAAAGTCTCATTCCAGCAAAATGTCCAGCACAGTTTTCTGTGGCCATGGCCAGACTTAGCCACCTTTAACTGCATTCTGAGCTGGAAGACTCAATAAGGCAGTGGCACAAAGTATTCTGGGGCACACCATTTCAAAGATTTTGCTCCTGTTGGATATTAAAAATGTTAGCACATGTTAATGGGGCTGAAAAGTCCTATAGTAAAACTGATATTGCGATTTATAGTAAGAAATATATGTTTGATCTTCATCCCCATTTCTGGCACAGAGCTCCTAAAATGCTTGGCATTTCCTGTGATGAGAGAGAGAAACATTAATGAGGTGAATTTTGGAAAGCACCTAAGGTTCGGGGCTGGTCATCAGAGGAGCCAGCCATGCGTTTAGAGAATTAGAGCTTTCAGTCCCACCCCCTGACCTCCAGGGAAGGGATGCAGACTAGAGGTTGAATCAGTCACCAGTGGCCAGTAATTTAACTGATTGTGCCTATGTAATGAAGCCTCTACGAAAACTCAACAGACAGTGGTTGGATAGCTTCCGTGTTGGGAAGCATGTAGCAGTTTGGGGAGCATGGCTCTGGGAGAGGGGTGAAGCTCTTTCCCATAGCTTACCTATGCCCATATGGCTGTTCCTGAGTTAAAGCCTTTTATAATAAGCCAATAATCTACTAGGTAAACTGGTTTCTTGAGTTCTCTGAGCCGCTCTAGCAAATTAAGCAAACCCAAGGACTGGGGTTGTGGGAACCTTCCATCTCTAGCTAGTTGGTAAGAGGTACCAGTGAGAACCTGGCCTTGCCATTGGTGTCTGAAGTGGGTTAGGGGAGGGGAAGTCTTGTGGGACTGAGCCCTTAACCTGTGGGATCTGACACTATAGTGTCAGAATTGAGTTGAATTGTAGGACCCCTAGCTGTGTCCAAGAATTGCTTGGTGGTGTGGAAAAACTCACATACACACTGGAGTTGGTGTCAGAATTATAGTAAAGAAAACTAGTTTCTACCTTTTCAATATATAGCCTTCCTGAATCATTTTCTCCCATGATTGTTATGTTACATACACATGGTAAAAACTCAGACACACAGCAGAAACATACAAAATAAGAGAAAAGTTCCATGAAGCTCTCTCAGCCCACGTCCTAATATACAAAGGTAATCACTTTTATTAGTTCCTTCTAAAAAATTGATATGCATATTACAGGAAAGATGTATGTATATGTCTGTGGAAACATTTTAGATTGTAAAAACCAGGCAGAAGGGGTATGTTGTGAGCTCCTGTCTTCAAATGGGGAGAGGCCAGAGATGTTGCTATATATCCTACAGTACACAGAAGAACCCCCTGCAGCAAAGAATGAGCAACCCAAAGAGTCAACAATGCTGATGTAAAGAAACCCTGCTCTGGGTAGGTGGCTTTGAAACCTGAGTGCATCAGAATCCCTTGAAAGGGTTGTTAAAACAGATTGCTGGGCCCCACCACTGAAGTATCTATTTTTGTAGGCCTGGCTTGGGGCCGCACATAGTGCATTTCTGAAAGTTTCGCATTGATGCTGATGTTTCAGGTCCAGGAACCACACTTTACAACCCCTGCCTGGGGCCTTCCCAGCATCCACATGGGTGAGGGGGCTCTCTGGCACCTGGTCTTGGTTCCACCAGTAGGAACACTGCCCACCTAGGAGTACCAAACCAAGAAGTAGCAGAAGCAGCAGAAATTCCCATTCACCTGTCAGCAAGAATGGAATGACACAGGGATACCCACCTGCACAGAGGATGGGAGATGTGGTCTCCAGGAGGGCATCCGTGAGCCAGGCTGCCTGCAGGGGAGCGTTAATTATGAGAAGGAAGAAGAGGGAAAAATAGTGAGGACAACGAGCAGTCCCTGCGGAGAGGCTGTCCGCCATCTGCCCCCAACCCCTGCTGTCCCTGATCCTGCTTCCCGCCTTCTCACTTGCTGTTTTGAAGCACGCTGATCTTCCACAGCCACACATCCCTTCCCAGGGCATCTGTGTTCGCTGCTCCCTCTGCTTTGGAAGCTCCTCCCCAAGAGAGTCACTTGGTTGGTCCCCACTGCATTCTGGTCTCAGCTCCTCAGAGAGCCTGAGTGGCCACCTAACAGCTGCCCCGGCCCAGCTGGCCCTCCCCCTGCCCCATCCCCCTGCTCCCTCTGTCCATGTGACTCAGTGCTCCCGACAGCAGGTCGCATACTTATGTGCTTCTCTATTTGTGCCTGTCACAGAAAGCAAGATTTGGGAGGGCAAGGCCTGACATCTTGACTGTTACACCCCAGAACAGCCCTTGGCACAGAAGAGGCGCTCAAATATTTGTTGAAAAAGTGGAAGTGCATCTTCCATTTCTGATGAACGCCACCAGATGGCCCTGCAGATAGCTTCGTGCTTAGGTTTTTAAATCCATAAGCCTGTTCAACCCTCATTAATTTGGAATATTTTCTTTGGGCTTCTCATGCCCAATGTGGTTGCAAATAGACCCTGGGGTCCTGGAACATTCCTCACTCGTCCCTCTGCCTTGCTGGCACAGCCTCTTCTCCACAGGTCCTTGGGGCCGCATTTCCCGGCTGGGGTGTGAGCCAGAAGAAACAAAGTGGGCTGGCAGGAAACCTTTCTAACTGGCAACACCATTTCTTGAAGGAACATGTGATGGTCACACCCATTTAATGTTAACAGCCCCGTCAAGGAAGAGGCATTGATTCATCTGACTTAGCCCCTACCAGAAAAATCGTCCCCTGTCTAAACTCTCCTGTCTTACAAGATTCTTAATAGCTCAAAAGTGCCTTATCAGCTTAAGCTGATCCAAGAAAATAAACATCTCATAACTGATGATACAAGCAGCTCCAGATACAGAACAGCCCAGCCCGATGGATGGTTCTTATAAATAAACCAATCACACACTATAGAAATAACCAGACTTTCTGTGACTTCACACGGAGCCAAATGGAAATGCCCTTGCCAAGCGAATGTCAAAGTCATCCCATAGTCAAGATGTGGTCGGGCGCTAGATGTCAGCCAAAATGTTTGCTCCAACGAGAGGCACTTCTTAAGTGGAACCCCGTTAACTTGAGCCCTCAAATTGAACTTTTATGCTTAGATTTTAGGGAAAGGGGACATACTACAACAAAGTGCATTCATGTGAAGGAACTGGTTAAGACCAAGCAGATACAAAACATCCGCAGCCCACAGCAGGCCTGGCATCAGGTGTGACTCAGTGGCTTGTGCGTTTTGGCTGTCTGGATTCCCAGTGCCTGCAGCCCAGCAGGTCCTGTATGATTAAAACAGGCCAGGCACCAGTCTGTGAGACAGAGATTTTCAGCATTACTGGTTAAAATAAAAACAATTCCTGTTAACCAGAACCTCATTTCCTTAACATTTTAAGTTTTGAGACTTAATGGTGATAAGAAAACAAATTATTTTTCAAGGGAGTGTGCTGTAACAATTTCTCTGAGAAATTATATGTTCTGGGACAAGGTGTCCATGTAGTCTTTTTTGAATGGACATAAGAGTAGTCTGGACAAAATGAGGGGAGGCCCCTTTTTGTCCACTGACTCAATTCTGGGGCAACTGGAGCCTCTACAAGAGCAGGGCTGCACTTAAGCCAGATTGGCCAGAAGAGGTCATTTGGTTTGGACTGTCCCCATAAATTCCCCTAGAGCACAGGTGGTAAGTTTTCTTACTCCCCAGATTCCAAATCCTCTAGTAACTAGCTTGGCAGTCTGCATAATGAGCAGTCAACAGAGAGGATGCCGCAGAAAGCTAGGCCAGCTCAAGGCTTGGGAAGGCTCCAGGGCTGTGCCAGAAACCAGCGGCCCCAGCAGGGTGGGGACCTATATGAAACCAGGGGTCATTGCCCTCATGGCTTCAGGACTGGTAGGCACTAGCCACCAAGTCCCATCTTGGCCCCTTCAGTGTTTTTCTGAAGGTTCTAGCATTTTCTGCACAAGGCAGGGATCATAATCTTGTAGTTTAGTGGGGGTGAGTGTGGCTGCCGTTAAGAGGGACAGCCTCCTCGTGTTCACTGCTGGGGTCAGGCCTCAGTGGCTCAGGTCCTCAGAGCACCAAAAAAAAAAAAAAAATTCTCATACGATGTGTTTGGAAAATATTTTTCATAAGTGGAGGCCCACCAAGGCTTCAAGGCCACAAACCTAAAAATGTGGCAGACACTTTAAAAATTCTCATACGATGTGTTTGGAAAATATTTTTCATAAGTGGAGGCCCACCAAGGCTTCAAGGCCACAAACCTAAAAATGTGGCAGACACTTTGGAAGCCAAAGAAGCTTGTCCATTTTCTTGAGGCTGTGTGAAAAGGCTGCCAGTATCCTACAGCTGGTGGTCCAGAGATTCTCCCCTTTTGTTCTCTTTTTCATTCTGTTTCTCTTGCTACCAGATCCCTTCCCTGGAGGCCCCCTCTATTCCTTAACTTGGACAGGTTGGTCCTACTGGAAGCTTCACTCCAGCTGTGAGCATCTCTGCTAGGGGGGTTTCAAAGCCAAGCTGTCAGTGTTCCAATGTCCTTCAGAAGGGACAATTTGGGGGGCAAATGGCTTTTTATATTTTATTTACGGTGCCCATCACCCACCCCCACCTCCCACCCCAAGACTAAAACCCAAACTATTAAGGGACTGGCTAGGAGACTGACAAGAAGCTCAGTGTGGTGCTTGAGTCTGGATGACCTGTGTCTAGCCTCATCTCACACTGCAACCTGTCCAACCAGCCTCCTCACACCAGCCTGCAGTAGCACCCCACTCCTCTCCCGACACCCCCACATGTATCTGAACCCCAGAGCGGGTGGATTCAAAGACAAGCTGGAGATTCACCCCGCCCCAACCTCACCCCAGCAGTTCAGTGGCACATCTAGTGAATGCTCTAGGAATGTGCTGTCCATTCCAGTCCACTGGCTACATGTGGAGACAGTCCTTGAAATGTGGCTGGTGAGAACTGAGATGTACCCTTAAGTACACAGTACTCACGAGATTTTGAATACGCAGCATGAAAAGAGAATGTAAAATGTCTCATTAATGTTTGTACTGATTACATTAAAATACTATTTCTGATTGGGTAAAATACATTAAAATTAACATCACCTGTTTCTTGTTACTTTTACTCATGTGGCTGCTAGAAAATTAAATATATAGTCTGTAGTACATTTCCACAGAGCAGACTCTGTAGAAACATTGAAACTTTGGTGTGGTCTTAGGGTCAGAAAAGTTCCTGAACAAAGGGAGAGATGGAGCTGCGCTAAGATAGGGGGGGAAGGATTTCATCAGAGAAGGAGAGGAGAGTTTTTGTTCGGGAGAAACAATTTTAACTCACTAGCAGACCAGGTGGGCCGAGGCAGCAGGGAGCTAGCTGGATTTTATCAAGTGCCTCTTTCAGATGACTTGGTAGCTCAAGCCAGCCTTTCAGTCTGCCATGGCTCACCAAGGACAGTAACTGGGAAGCTGTGATGTGATCCATCTACAAGCCCTTCAGCCCTCCAGGAGGAGAGGGACCTGTGTTTGCCCGGCAAGTCATTGGTACAGAGAGTGGCCAACACAGACATTTTTATATCTGGGCAAAGAGTCCACTAGTATCAGCTGTCATTTCAATGCTGTGGAACTACCCTAAGCACGTACTGTCTATTACAGTGTCCTCAGAAATCCCATTCAGTCTGTGTTTCATGAATAAGGAAGCAGAGTCCCCCGGGGCTAATAACAGGCATAAAGTTATACCAGGTAAGAGAGGAAGTCAGGGTTTACCCCCACCCGCCATATCCCTTCCTCTGCACCCTGAACCACCATGCTCCACCTTGTTCCAGCCTCTGCTTAGACCTGGGGTTGCAGCCCAGTGTCCCTGGCCTATTCCATCCCACAGCTGGCTGCTGGCCTGGACAAGCTTCCCATCCAACAGGTACAGCCCCAGCCCCTGACGGGCTCCCAGCGCAGTGCCCCAGGCTGTGGAACAGCAGAGAAGCATCCAACCACCTGTGTGCAGAGCTCTGCCTCGGGGGATGGCGGGCTTGGGTGACAGGGTCAGCAGAGGCCCCTACCCTCTGCAGTCCCCAGGCGCTCTCAGGGTTTGCTCCACTCCGGGACACAGTTGGTATTGTAAGGCTTTTGGCTTTTGTCCAGCCCTCTGTTTTCTGTTTCACCCTGGCAGGTTCCATCTGGCATTCAGATATTATAAATAGCTGCAGTTAGGGTGTGACTTGGGTGGAGACCTGGAGCTGGTACTCCACCCTGAAGGGGAAAAAAAGCTTATTTAATTCATTTCTGCACTTGGAAGCCTCTGGATGTTTTCAGAATGCCAATTAGGCGGCAGCTGTTGGGGTTTTTCCTCTCCCTATCCTGAGGTGGCCTGTCTGATTTTTCATGTGCCTGTTGACTTAAGCTCTTGAAGGAGGTTGGCTGGGACAGGACCACAGCCGCTGGGATCGGGGCTGGCTGGGCTTCGGGTGCTTTCCATAAGAACCCCGAGAACGGGTGGTGGTGGTGGGCAAGGGCCCAGCCCTTCCTTGGTTCTTCCAGGACTCAGAAGTTTGGGGAAAGGGGAAAGATGTCTCCCTGAGAGAGAGCAATCCAGCTATCCAGTGTATGAGGAGGGCTCCAAACTGGTGCCCCAAACAGATAGCCCTGGAAGGGTTCTAGGCCTCTTGGCTCCCGTGGAGCTTGGGTCTCTGCACACGCATCTGGCACCAATCAGGCACTGCCGTGGGGCTTATGTCTGCTCTAAGGCTCTGTGTCCTCACCAGTACAGCGGGGATCACAGTGCCGGCCCAGAGTCCTGGGTAGGGTGGGGTAGGGTGGTACAGTACATGCAAAGCATCTGGCACACAGTGAGGGCTCCTAGATGTCAGCTCTCGCCAGCTTCCGTATTAGGTGGAGAAACAAAGCCAGATAATGCTCAAAGAACAGTTCCTGAAGAGTTGAAAGCAACTTATAGGAAGACCAAGATAAGTTGGAGGGCTTCCAGTTATCAGCTAAATGTTAATATCTAAAGTGATTTTGAAACAGGAAAGCACTGTGTAATAAAATGTAAAATGTATATTAGTGCATAATAAAAAAGCATTACGAGATAAAATGATGACAAAAGAGCAAAGCAAATGGGTGTGTCAGCAGACAAAAATGAGAAACTGCTTCCAGGGGTCATTGCCATTAATAAACCCCCCCCTCCCGATGTGTGACCTTTTGGCTCCCTTTCTAAGCATGTATTGATTTGCACATGCTTGTGTGTGTGCACGCAAACACCTGTCTCTGGGCAGGCAGGGCCTGAGGCTCTGATCCAGTTGCTGAAAGAAGCAGTGGTTTTTGGGTGCCTGTGGGTATGCCTGGGGTTCATGTAACTGAAGGGGAGAGATGGACCTGGGGTGCACAGGGGCCCCGCAGAGGGAAAAAGGATGCCAAGGCAGGGATGTCACGGTCTTTGTTCTCCGCTTGCTTTGGAACCTGGCTTGAGTTTTCTCCAAGGAGAGGGGTAAGGACCAAAGGCTAAAGGAACTATTTTTGTGAAAGAGTTTGTGAGCTCTGAGCACAGGCAGCCCTGCCTCAGCACGCAGACGGCAGGGTTGGTGGGGAACCATCTCAGCACTGTCAGCAGTGGTGATGCAGCCGTTTCCATAAGGGTCTGTTCAGTGGGCTCCAACAGTGCTGGCTTACTGCAGAAATGGCCAGTAGAGAGCACCGTGGGGTTCCTGTGGTAACGACACTGAAACCCCTTCGGGATCGCCCAGAAACAATGGGAAGATTTTACAGGGAGCTCAGGTCCTGCTGTTTGGCAAGAGGAGCTCAGAGTCATTGGAATTTGGGCATAAATGTGAATGTGATGTCATTATTAAACAATATTGAGCCATTTGTTTGTATTACTTCATACGTAACTCCTGTTGCATGGTTAATTACAATGAAAACATACTATTTTTAAATTAAATCCACAGAGTCCATTCCAGCATCTCTTGAACAATATTAAGAAAGTAAGATTCAGAGCAATTCCCCAATATTATTCAAACTCTATCAGCTGTGAGACACTTTGGGTGTTCAAAGATGGCTGGCTGCTGTTCATTGCCCTGAACTCCATCCTTCCTTGGCATGATGGAGAAGGAAAATGAACATGAGATCTATCTAGTGCAGCAGCTCATATATCATTAGGTACCCAACTGAGCAAGCAATCTGAAGTCAATTCATCCGAAAAGTTGTAGAGCTGAGTCAGCTCCTAGGACCACAGTTTTGCCTCCTTTAGGAGCTGGAAATCTGATGCTCAGGAGAACTTCTCCTGGGAAGAAGCACACCCTCTCGTGTAATGCAGAGACCACAGTGTGCACTCCATTATTTATGTGCAACAGAGGAGGAATCTGACTCTAAAAGCTTAAGCCCTTTCTAAGTGATTGCATTGTCTTGCAGGGCACCTTGGGGAGCTCACCTGTACATTATGTTCCTTCTGAACCCAGTGCTTATGAATCATCTCCATAAAGAATATCAGATGGGAGAAAACTTACTGGCTAGTAGGTGCTATTGGGACCCCTTTCTTCAGACAGGTCCTTGCTGTGGGCCCTCCATGGTCTGTGAAATCTTCAGAGATGAAACCTCTTGTTCTCTCTTCAATAGGCCTCCCTCTCCCCTACTGGAAAATGTCTTGCCGTCTTCCCAGAACACCAGGTAATTTGCTTTCTTCATGGACTGAGTCTTCATTATCAGATGTCAAGACATTTTCACAGAGACAGTATTTTAAAACCTGAAGATAGAGAAGAGCATGGAATATATGTAGATACAGACAGTTGGTTTCATTCATTAATTTTGTCCTTTACTGGAATGCCCAGAGAAATACTTCTTGAAACCACTGTATCCACAGCCACCACCTTGTTCAAGCCACTACCCTGTCTGGGCTGGACCAGCATTAAGAGTTTTTTAATGGTTCTATTTGCTCGCATTCTTAGCTACAACCATTCTCCAGGTCCCCATTCTCTTTTTCTCTAACCGTTCTCAGCCAGGTGATCTTTAAAAAAATACAAATTTAATCTTGTCTCTCCATACCCCTGCTGAAATATATTGACTGGATTTCCCTTCCATCCATTGCTTATGGGATGAAGACTAAGCCCTTCAAGGCCCTGCACGCCTGCTACTGCCTGCTCCCCCTTCAGCTCCTCCTCCCTTTGTGTGCTGCAGGGATCCTGGCTGTCTTTCAGGTCCTCAGGTCTGTAGGAGCCTCCCTCCCACGTACAGAGCCTTTGGGCATCTGTCTCTTTCCCTCCCCACCTAAACTTAAATCCTTTACTGCTGAACTCAGCTCAAGCATCACTTCCTTAAAAAGTCTTCAACAGCCTCCAAGCTTGAACAACTTCTTTTTTTATTTGTTTTTTTTTAAATTCTTTATTAAGGTATGATTGATATACACTCTTATGAAGGTTTCACTTGAAAAAACAATGTGGTCACTACATTACTCATATTATCAAGTCCCCACCCATACCCCAATGCAGTCACTGTCCATCAGCACAGCAAGATGCCACAGATGCACTATGTGCCTTCTCTGTGATACACTGTTGAACAACTTCTTAAAGTGCGTTCTCTTAACATTTGGTGATTTCCTTTCATATCGTTTAGAGCAACATTTTTGGGGTGGTCATTTCATATTGACAGACATTAGTCTGTCTCCCCAGAAGGTGATAGTTGTATGACAACAGGAACTGGGCCTGTGTTGCTTGCTATTACATTCTCAGTGCCTATAGCACAGAGCCTAACACAGAAGTGCTCAATGCATAATTGTCCAATACTTGTTAGATAAGTAGACTTGGCTCCTAGGAGTTTCTCATCAGCTAGGAGAGAAAAAGATTCCTCCTTATTCTCCAAAGTCCTCTTCAGTGTCATCCTCATCGTGCAGTTGCCCTGCCCACTCCCCTGCCTCCTCTCCACCCAGAGCACGTGCCTTGCCATGCTTGGGCTCCGTAGTCATTCCTCCTTGGGCTTTTGGGAAAGACTGGTCTGACCTCATCCATACCTTTCAACTGGACAGCTCCATCTGGAAGCCTGTATCTGATTCTTAGGGATGCTGTGTCAGAGTACCATAAATTAGCTTAAAACAACAGAAATTTATTTTCCCACAGTTCTAGAGGCTCGAAGTCTGAAATCGAAGTTTCAGTAGGGCCATGCTCCCTCGGAACATGTAGAGGAGAATCCTTCCTTGCCGCCTCTACCTCCCGATGTGTTCTGGCAATCCTTGGCTTGTAGGTGCATTGCTCCAATCTCTTGTCACGTAGCCATCTTCTTATTAGGACACCAGTCATATTGGACCAAAGGTCTACTCTGCCGTGGATGATCTCGTCTTCATCTTAACTAATTACATCTGTTAACTACCCTGTTTCCAAATAAGGTCACATTCTAAGCTCTTGGAGGTTATGACTTGAGCATGCATTTTTGGGGGTCACAGTTCATGCCTTTGAGCTTATAGCAGACATTTAATGCTCATGGAATAGCTGTGTGTTCTGTACTTTTCACAAGCTGGTAAAACATGTGATTAGTTCTAGCCAGTGACTTGAAAATGGAAATCATATGTAAAGCATCTGCACTGAAGTGTTTAAGAGCCAGTGTGTTACCTTCCAGCTAGTTCCCTGCCATGCCAACTTGGAAACCATGTGTTCTTGGAAGCCACATGTTCCTATAAGAGTGCAGGGACTCCACGAGCCCCAAGCCCTGCCTGCCCACCGTTCCTCCTACCCACCCCTAACCAGCTGACCTACATTGGACAGGTGATTTGAGTGAAAAATACATCTTAGCTATATTAAGCTACTAAGGCTTCAGTGTCTTTTTTTTTTTTTTTTTTTTTTTTTACCATTAGGCCATCCTGACACAGGCAGTGCTTCTTTACAAGCTGTTTCCTCTGCCTGCCTCACCCACCTTCAGCTGCCTGGAGTCCTCCTACTGATCCATCCAACCTGTGATCTGCTTTACTGTGAAACTGATCTGACTCATTACCTTACAGTTAATTATTCCCTCCTGTGCTCCCACTGACTTGTTAATAATGCCAACATGGTTCTTATTACCTATTATCACAATAGTTTAATACCTTTTGAATCATGGAATAGTAGATGATAGGTACCTTAAAGACAGGGACTGTGTGTCACTCACCTATCAAGTTCATATCTCCAGCATCCTACAGGATGAATGGGCACAAAGAGGGAACCCAATCCAATAAATGATGAATGAATAAATAAATAAATGAATGAACTGACAAATGTAATCTGTAAACACTCTTAGTGAAGGGTGAGGGGGAAAACTTCAAGGAACCTGAAAACACTGTGTGCGACTCTACAGCTCAGAGATGTTAGGAGTCAGTGATCACAATTTTGAGCTTATGTGGAGTTCAGAGTAACATTGACCTGTGTAATGTATGTTACCAGGGCTCAAGTAAGTGAAAGGATGATAGAAAATAAAACTTATGAGTGCAGTCAGGAAGGTGAGGTTCAAAAGGAAGTCGAAAAATTATTTTTAACTCATGCATGAGCACACTGAGTGGATTAAAAGTGGGTCCTATTAACAGAAAGTGAGAATTTAGGAAATAATATTGCACATGTGTGACATAGCCAGAATGACTAGTAAATGAAAATTATGCTTAACTGGCACACTGGCAAAGCAGGATGAAACAGGGATTGTGAAAAAAATGCAACTCTATCATCTATCTGCCCCATGAGAACAGTCGTGACAGATCCAAGTGTTGGGGGCTCCCCATTGTCTCTTTAAATTTTATTTGCTAGTGGTGGAATCCCTCTATCTGCAATGATGACTTGGACAAGCCAGTGAATTTACTGTCACATTCAGGCAATAAAAAAAATCCTTTAAATTGCAAAAAGTAGCCTCTGTTCAGCTCTTGGCATTCCAAGCCCCAGGTAATAGTTAAAATTCTGCGACTGACTTAGCCTTAAATCTACTCTCCTCCCTTGGCTCAGTTCTGCCTCATCCTGGAAGGCTGCCCTGGGAAAGGGGGCATGGTCATTTCTCTCTTCTCCCTCTGCTCAGCTCCTCCTGCTTGCTAGCCGCTGGCTCCCTCCAAGCCTGGAATGAAGCCCAGCTAGGAGAGATGTAGGGGATAAGATAGTTCTCATGTGGCTGGTGACCTAAGCCCTTTGGGCCGGCAGCTGGCCTCCGTGGGGTGGCCTGGCGGATGATTAAAGCTGGCCTTGTCACAGGCCTTGCAGAGGCCTCCAGCTGGGCCCCTGTCTCCTGGAGTTCCCTTGATCCAGGCTGAAGGCTCTGGGTGGTCTCATGTGACTTCCCCAGCTCCTGGGATTCTGGAGGTACAGAGGCCAGCCCTTTCTGCTGAGATCTGTCCATGTCTACAGGCCCCCAGGCCACCCCAGACTATCCAACACCTGCTGCCTTTCCCACAGAGCCCACATTTGGTCTTGGGATACTTGCCTTGCTCTGCCACCAAAGTAATGTCATTGCTAATGCTTACATGCTGCTTAGAGTGTTCCAGCACTGTCCTGCTTACAGGTGTTATCTCAATTAATGCTCATGGCCACCTAGGAGGCAGGTAAACCTGGCAGGCCATTTCCTTCTTTACGGACATGTCACACTTCTTCCTTAGGTTCTGTCGTCATGAAACACTGCAGGCACTGAGTTTGATTGCAGACACAAGAATTGAGAGACTGAGGCTTTATCTTAGCTTGGCCATGAACTCACTATGAGGCTTAGCACAAGCCAGTAATATCTCCAGAATAGACTCATCAACACCAAGGTTCCTTCTTACACTAAAATTCTGTGACTCAAGAAATAATTCCAGGGTAAGGAACTATAATTAGGTGCTTAGGGTGGGAAGTGAAAAAGGTTAGTTAGGACCTATGGCTTGAAAGAGCCCAGACAGTACAGATATAAGTAACCCCAAAAAGTCTTGAGCATCTTTAAGCTTTGAAAAAAAATGATATTAAAAATACCTTAAAATCTAGGTCTTTATCATTCTTTTTGTAATCCTAATGAGGAGTCTCAGTAAAAAGAGAGGTTTCAGCATGTGGTTTCAAGAACCTTAAAAACATTTGTCCTTGTGACTCACTAACTCTACTACCAGAAATCCTAAAAAATAATCAGAAACATACACAAAGATTTGTGGATAAGAGGGTGAATCACAGTAGTTTTTATAGTAGTAAAAAGTAGGAACAACTCTCCTTGTTCGATTTCTGCTCACATGAGACCCCTTCAAAGAGAGTCTCAAGCAATGATAAATATAGTGGTGCTCTCTATCCTTTACCCTGCCTTTATTTTTTACATCATAACACCTATCACCATCTGATGTTGTATATGTTTGTTTCCTTGCTTACCTTCTTTCTCCCAACTAGGATATTACCCCCATGAGGCCTGTAGGAGCAGATACAGGTTTGTGGGGCTTGAAGAACATATAAATCTGAGGTCCCTTTTTCAAAAAGCAATAAATAAATAAATAAATAAATAAATAAATAAATAAATATATAATTGAGCATGAAATTCCGTATTGATTTAGAACGGAAAGGAAAGGTCCTTGAGTTCTCCTTGTTAGCCTTACAGTGAATCTGCCTCAGAGGGGAAGGCGCTTGGTCTGTCTTGTTCAAAGCTGTATTTCTCCAGGACCTAGAACAGGGTTGGGCATGTAATTGGTGCTCATGAGGTACTTGTGGAATGAAAGAATGACTGACAGTAGAGAAATGGTTAAATGAATGAGCAAAGAGAGGTGGGAAGAGGTCCCATAACTTGCACCCAAACACAATTAGT